AGGTGTACCTATCTATCATCTATTAATTAGAAGCCAATAATTATTACTATAGAATTGGGTATTTAAAATTAATCCATGCAGAGTGTTGCGTGTGAACACTTATGACCTATGTACATAAATAGTTACGTGTAAATAGTGCAACGCTTACCATCGTTGAAGATTTGGCACGATCGACCATTCGAAGTCCTTGGTCTGACACCTCAAGTATGCACGATTGTGGTTTGCAATTGGGACGTTCAGTAATCTTGCGTATGGCTTGACATAGCACAGAATTGCCTTTGTGCCACATTGTCTCCACTGAACCCATGTATCCCAAAAGAAACCGTTCTCGTTTCACCTTGGGCGTCGCAGAATCGAAATCCGTGTACTCGACGTCTACCGCATACGCGGATGGAAACGCTCCTTGAGTTCCGGTGCGAAGGTTAACTCCTGAAAAGAGTGAAAACCTGTCAATATATGTCATAAAGTACTGCAATAGGATTTTTATATTGTAGTAACTAGTAGCGTTAAAACATTGGTATCRATATTCCCGTGGAGAGTAAATAACAATAAATTTACCTTCACACCAACAGTCTTCGGCTTCCTTTTGCACGTAAATCGGATCACCTATATCCACTTCCATCTCGTCCCGGTGYCTAGGAACGAACTTGTACAGTCCTCTGTGTGTGGCCTCTAATAGCTCTAATTGAGATAGTGGAAGACTCGATGAACACGACGATGCTGGAGTTGGAGTGTCTGTGCATAAACAGTAGTCAAATTAAGGTTTCATTGCGATAAGTCGCCAGCGTAAGAGATATAAGTGTTATAATTTCATTATAATGAACTCGTTACCGATTTGTTGCGGTGAACTAGATTTGGCTCTTTCGGGCGAATGGACTAATGATATACCCGAGTCTGGAGACCGACATTCAGAATCTCGAAGTCCCGATACGAACGATTTCCTTCTGTCAGGCGAAAATACTTCTCCTAATTCATCGGCCAAGCTTAACACCGAACCAGCTTCGAATAGGTATTTATAAATTGTTCACGTTAGTCATTCGATAATTTAAACGAATAACCAAATGCCCTTTCAATTGAAATCAATATATTGTTTTTATCAACACTTAATATAATCAGATAATTAAAGAGTCGTTTTTTGCACTATTAAAATTATAACAGTTGTCAATTAATATAGATGTATAACATTATTTAAGTTTGAGAAACTACGCTATTAGTGTGTATTGATGACTTATTGTTTTCTTTAAATATGACATTTGGTTTGCAATCAGAAATAAAAACAAATATTACTTCTATTTTTTGGTAATTCGGGTAATTTTCTCCTTCTTTTTTCATGCCTTAAGCGCACAATATTACTGTAAAATGCAGATATGAGT